AGCATTGTGTTGAGTTGCACACTCTTGCGCTTTGTTTGCTGAGAACGTACCTCATTAACTGAAAACTAAAACTGTGTTGCGTGCATCTGAAGGCTGGAATTCACGTCTGCGGTAGAAATGCTGTTAGTGTTGGATGCTGCAGTGCTGCTGCAAGGGTATGGGCCTGGTCTTGGCAATGAGCATTGTACCTAATGCCCATGCAGAAAATGTCTGTGGAGGTGCTGAGTTCGTGTGAAGATCCTGCCCATCTGCAGTTTGCAGGCCCAATAGCTACAAAGTCTGCAGGATGAGAGTGGGTCAATTAGGCAGAAATGTTTAACTCTTTGAGTTTAGGTTCATTGACAGGGTGGTTGTTTTTTTTCTCAGTGCAATCAAAATAAGCCTGGCAAAATCTGCTCCTATTTTCTGTACAAAAGCTGAGGACTCTTTTAAGCAAAATAACACACTGTATGAGCTTTTATACTAGCTAAATAGGGCAGCTGTTGTTGGAGTGGTGTTCCAGCAACACCCTTTATTTCTTCTTAGAAAGAAGCTCCTGTGTTTTGCAAAGCTCTCCTCTTATCTGTACTCATCTGCACCTGATGCATCTAATTAAAATACAGCAGATTTCAAATTTGCATACATTATTTTATAATTAATTTTATAATACATTGAACTGTAAGCCACTAAAAGCGTTTGTGTGCAGACGATGTCATAGAGAATGCAGTGATGGACACCTTAGATTTTCTCAGATAAGAAGGTGCATTTCATTACAGCGCGGGGGTGGGAACCTGAAGCTGAGGGAGGATTAGATGTTTCTGCTCTGCAGAGAAAGGATGGCTAGGATTCCCCCACCTTTGCCAGTAGCAACAAGCTTACTCTATTTTTATACTGTGTTTTTTCTGTATGCTTTTACCTTAGGTGTGCTTCAGTCTCCTTGAACCTCCTAGAGACTCTTGATAAAGGGATTGGATTTTCATCGTTTCTGTCTGTTACAAATTGTCATGGTAATATCTCCTAGGCAGCTGCAGGAGGGAGAGGGAACCATATGCGTGTGTGTGTGTGTTAGCAAACCATTTTGCCCATTGCTAAAAACATACCTCCCCATGTTTCCTTTGCAATGTCTTATGGTCTGGTGAATGGTCAGGAACATTTCTTAAACTAAACTGTGATGAAAACATTTGATTTTTACATAATGATACTTTGCTGAGGAAAGAGGAATCCTTTCCAGCTATTTTAACTTCATCGTCTTGCATCTTCCATAGCGTTTTGTGTTGTTTCTGGTTTTTTGTTTGTTTGTTTTTTTAAACTCCTGTCTTTGTGCTGGTACCCGTCTGACTAGTTTCTTTAGGTGGCACACCTAAACGTGCTTTTGGCAGCTTTGTGCATATCTGACACAGTGCATGTGTTGGCGGGGGTGGGAGGGTGAAGGGCATCCTGGCAGTACTAGCTCTGCTTCAGAAGAAAATAGGTACAATCCCTGGCAGGTGAATCCCAATTTATTATAAAAAGTCATGGGTATTGCTAGTTCTCATAAAAGGCCAAAACCTTGTGCCCCCTGTGCAGTTCAGGCTGGCCCCCACACTGGGCATTTTTCTTGGGAGGTGCCGGCAGCCCCTGCTCCCCTTGCCCTCTCCAGACTTCCCACCTACCCGGAGCCCCTCTGGACCAGGGCTTCCCCAGCCCGGTCGGAGGTTAGGCATGGCCAGGTCCTGGTCCTCTGGGACCACGCACACCAGATGAGCGGTGTAAACCGCGAGCCGATGGTGAGTGACCACGCCAGGCTTCTCGGCAAGCTGTGGCGCAGAGCCCGCTCTCTCATCTGGTGCGATCTGTGTCTGCGACGTTGTCTGTCACGCGCTCAAGGGTACTGCTGGTGCTACTTCATCGTAAGGTGAATATTAAAGGTGCTGTCTGTACTGCTCCAGTAGCTCCCACTAGTTTTTAGGACTCATTATAATGTTTACTGATGCACAGGAATACAATTAACAGTATTAACCTGAATCTTTGGTTAAAAGACTGCTTATGTAAAAAAGAAGGTTTTCCTCCTCAGATACAGTGCCTGGGTAGATTTCTTGCTTGCATTAGTAACAAAATTAAGACGTAGCTGTGTTTTGCTCAGTTATTGCTTCACAGGCAGCAAAGCTGTGAGAGTGAGCTGCGTTGTTTTTCCATTTAATCATCTATGGAATTGCTAATTAAATTCCAATTGCTGGAGTTTTATTAATGATAATGATGTGAAAGCAGGAAAAATGGAGCTTGATTTTTTTTTCAGCACACAACTCAAGGCTGAATGTGCAGTACTGACCATTAGAAGAAAGCCATTACTTTAGTTGTTAATTGATCAATTCAAATCTGGAATTACTGAGAAGCACCTGGAATGCCAGAACATCATCTTCACACTGGCTTTTTAGTTTATAACCAAAAGCCATTCTTACAGCCTAATTGGCAGACTGTCTTCAAGTGCTTTATAATCCAATTAACATCCAGAACAGTAATAAAGTATTTGAGTAAATGGACGTAATTTGTCTTTAAATGACTTGCAACACCATATTTGCAACAAAGGTTATCCGACCGTATTGCATGCTGTTTTCAACTGTTATACTGATTACTTGACTTTGGAAAGAGAACTGCTCATCTAACAAAAATATATTGCTCTTAATGAAGGCACATTGAACAAACTAAATTGCTGAGCTGTTTTCTGGGTTGGCATAGTAGGCCATCATCTGTCCCATATGCTTGTTAGTGTGTCATTTCTAAGACTTTATGACTCTGATGGTCTTAAACTGGGTGATAAAGCCAAGGTGAAGTGCAAACCTCCTCTTGGTGTAAGCTTGTTACTTCGGAGCTGGTGCTTTTCTCTGCTGTAAGGAGGAAGGGAGCAAAAGCGTGAATGCTTGAGCAACCAGGAGGTCATGGCTCTGCTTCCATCACCTCTCACTGCAGATTTCAAAATGTGCCTCTCTTCTCTCTTGATTGTTTAGAAAACTGCCCAAATCAGGAAGCTGACATAATGGCCACCTAGCCCAGCATCCTGCTTCTGGAAGTGGCTGGTAGGGGATGCTTAGGGAGAAGTGTAAGCAACAGAGCACATAAAGATCAGTCCTTCTGCCCATGTATACCCTTGCTGACTGCTCAAGACAGGGTTTACAGCGACTGGAGTTTGCATTTAGATTACCATACTTAGTGTCACCAACAGACAATCCATGGAGGATCTCCCTTTGGGCCTTTCCTACTTTGTTGCCTGTCACAGCATCCCTGGGGAATGGAATCCTCCATTTTATAACATGCTGTGTGGTAAAAGTACTTCTGCCTGTTTCCAAAATGTGCCACCTTGTAACTTCAGAAGGTGGAAGGAGTTGGAGGGGGGTTAGCATCTTTAGCACATCACCTTCTGACCATGTAGAATGCCTTCTCTTTTTCCATTGTGTGAGCTCAGCTCCAGCAAGGTGTGGTAGACCACTGAGGAGATTGTGGTCATGAGAAGATCGGTGAGGTCAGAAACAGGATCCACTTGCCCTGCCAATGGGCAGCTTTACTGAGAGAAACAGCATCTGATTTGGGTTGCTGTTTTTTTCCCTGCTCTATCATATCATTATTTGAAATAATTATGTTTCTGCATGAAGTTTCTTCATGGTTCACTTCTACCAACAGATGCTCTTTCTGAAGCTAATTAGACCATCGAGTCTGCCCGAGTCCTACAGCCTTACTGCAGAGTAAAGGCATATATCCTTCATTTGGAGCAATCACAGCTTTGCCTTTGAGTTTACTGCAGGTAAAAAGCTGCTGTTGGAAACATGTACAGGCTGTGCCGAGGGAGTCCTCGGACACCATCCTTGCATTTGTGGGCAACAGCTGTTGCCTTGCCATGGTTCTGTGGCTGAAGCCTGGCCATTTTACACAGACTGCTTGATGGCCTTTGGGGAAGGTGGGAACTCTCACCCCTTCTCATGGCACAGGGCATGTCATGGCACCTTCACAGAAAACTTGCTTCCAGGATTTCAAACGTGTCACCCTGTTGAACTGTTGTCTTCAGGAGGAGTCCAGCTTGCCCTTGCACGTAGGGTTACATCTTGTGGGGCTTTGCAGTAACACGAAGCCTTCCTGATGGAAATCTTTGCAATTCCAAAGAGGAATTGTACCCTTGCTTTTTTTCCCCAAAATACTTGATATGTCTTTGTCAAAACCTTCTTTGCATCACTAACGTCATACATCATGTCTTGTTTGTGTTGAGGACGTCTCTGAGGAGGCAGAGTGAAGTCTGGAGGTAGAGGCAGGATTCATTTTGATCTGAAATTTCCAAATCTGCCACTGTCCTGGGTGGTGTCCCATTTCAGCTACTGGCTGGCTATCTAACACACAGCAGGTTATCGTCAGAGTGTTTCATGTACAGGAAAGTCCAGTATCTTGATGCTGTTACTAGTTCAGTGGAGGCAGTGAGAGACACCAGGGCAGGGTAAAGAATGAAAACAGCTGAGAGGTGGTTTGCCACAAGGCCTCTGCTGTGCCTGCTGTTGGGAAGGGCACTTGAGGAAGTCGTTGCCCATCTGGAGAGCGTTAGGTCCTGCCAGAGATGAGAACATGTTACCTGTGCCCTACTGATGGGGAGGTGGTGACGGGGGCTTGGGGGGAGGCTTTTACGCATCCATTTTCGTGAGAGCGACCCATCACCACCTACTCCGTGCAATGCTGTTTCCCTTGAACATTTTCAGGAGAGTGCAGTATGCTGTGCTCTTGGGATTTATAGGCCATCCCCAAGGTGGCTTTAGGTGCACAACATTGTGGTTGCCACTGAAGCAAATTACACAGTAAACATTTGGGGAAAGGCTATAATTGCCAGAGGGCAAGTTAAGCTAAACTAACAGGGAGGCGAAACAAAGAGCCTCTGGTGTGGTAGTTGTAGGACTACTGCCTGGTAGAAGGGCTTGGACAAATTTTCGTTGCGTTACTTAACAGCACATGCGGTGGTTTTGGGTAGCCGATTAAACATCTGAGCTTTCTTTTGTCCCCCCTTTTTGCAGCTCTCCATGAATTCCCCAATGACATCTTCACGAATGAGGACAGGAGACACGGAGCTGTGGTCCTGCACGTCCTTTGTGTAAGTTTTGTGACTTTGCGGTTCTTCTCCTAGCAGTGTGGACAGGGCTCAGTGCACTCACCACAGGCTGATGCTGCCTCCTGCCCACAGGGACTTCTGGTCTCAATCGTGATTGAGAGTGAATTTCAGTAACTACACTGAGTATAACCTACTTCAGTTTTACATAAACCCTTTTTAAAAGCCCTGGTGCAGCCCATGAGCGCAGGCGCATGCTTTCATGTGAATAAACTCCTGTGAGTTGCTTTACTCCAGCCAGACCAGCTTTGCTGAGGCTGTTGGGCAGCTGGGGTCCCCTGCCCTCCGCCCCTGAGCACGAGGACACTGCAGGGTTGGCAGGTCGAGGGAGGACATTCATGTAACTGCTTTCAAAAATAAGTGAAGTCTTAACCCAGAAATTGCCCCCAGATATCCTTGTGGCACCCCTTATGACACAGCTGTAGGAGAAAGAAATTAGAGAGGGTTTTCTGTTTAAAAGATTATCAACTGGATTAATAAAAAAAAGTTTGCATCTCTAGAATTCCCCCGAGTAGTTAAGTTGCTAAAGTGAATTTTTCTTCCTGAATATATTAAAGATTGTAACTTCTCATTTATCAGCTGCAGGGTGTCCTGGATCCTCCTGGGAATTCTGGAGGACATCAGGCAGGCGAGGGATTTGCCTCAAAGTTCAGAAATATGCCAAGACAATGGTAATAGATGCTATTGTAAAGACCTGAGAAATCTGTACAATTTTGGGCTTGGAGTTTTGTGATCTCTGCCCCAAACAAGTCAGTGTAAGTGGTGTGCATGGGTAAGGCCAAAATTAAAGATACTCAAGATAAATTTATTTAAATAACCCTGGTCTGTCAGTCTATTAGACACTTAGCTAATGTTAGAGGACGTTGCCTTTGGCAACTGCAGTATTCTCGCAGAGGGAAGCACTGTCCCTCCAGATCTGTTCCTCGACTTTTTTTAGGTAGATGAAGACAATTCTTTTCCTTTTTAATGTCGTCTTCATTTAAGAACTGCCAAGTTGGTACTTCTTGGGTGGAAGAGTCATTCTTAAGCAACCAAGAAAATACCTGCTTCTAATGAATGTTTAGAAGCACTTAATTTTTAGTCAGCTTAAATGACCAATCACCATTAGCTATGTGCAATGATTCATGATTTCTTTTTAAGTATAAATTAGATTGTATTGCATATTGTAATGCGAGTGCTCTGTGTTATGATTTTATTTCAACTAAATGGCTGCAAAAATTTGTTGAGTAACATCACTATTGACTTTGTCTGGCAAGCTCAAGGCTTCCAAGATTCCATGGGTACGTTGAGCTTTGGGATGTTTTGGAAAGTGAGCACTGGACCTGAGATGGATTTTTTAGCACACACAAGAATGCTCCCAAAAATTCATATAAACCTTCTCTCAAAGTAGTGTCATGCAGCAGCTAGTCACCCAGAGCCTCTGTGCAGTTGGTGGAGGGAGAGACCCTTCAGAGGATCTTCAGTTCCTCCACTGTAGGTATGGGGTGAAGCTGCAGGCTGGATTTCACCTGCCTGGCTCTGGTCAAATCACATGGACTGTGAGCTGCTTCTGTCCGGCAGTGAAGCAGGATTGTCTTAAACCACTGCAGCCCGTATGCGCTGCACCGCGGCGGTCAGTGCCGCACATGGTGGCTCTCGTGCATCCCTGGTGTTGGTGGTTAGCGTAGTGCCCTCTTCTGAATGTCCAAATGCAGGGCTTGGGCTGGGCTTGAAAGAGGCACCAGGGATGGCGTTGGTGGAACTGAGAAGTGGTCCCAAGGAATGCCGTCTTGGAGACCTGTCCATGCATCCAAGGCAGCCTTTGGTCTGCTCTTTCCTACCTTTGGATGCTTGATGTCATGACTTCAGGGTCCATTTCACAGCCACAGTCAGCGTGTCACATAGCACTGTCTGTGGGATTTCACACCTACCTTGATGCACATCTCGGCCGGTGTGTGTTTGCATCCCAAGTGCTGATTATTTGTTTTCCTGGCAGTCAGTGCTCTGCGCCTCCAACAGTTTTTGTGTTTTGACAGGAAAAGGCCACTGTTGATCATCTGTTAATTCAAGGACCTAAATTAACTACTCTTAATCCATACAGGAAGTGTGTAAACATCGTAATGTAGTCTTGAAAAATAATGATAGGCTGTTGGCACCCTTGTAACTGTACTATGGGTAATACAAAAAAGTGTTGTGAGAGTTGTTTAAGGAAGGGATTAACTATCTGCAGTTAAATTCACCTCTCTACTTGAAAAACAACTAGCAGATTCCTGTACAGCCGCTCTAGGCAAAAGATGATGATTATAACAGCATGTTGCTACCTTGTAACCTCACATTTCTTCAGTTTTCAGACAAAAATAATTTTTCAAAAATCTCTTGAGTTACAGAAATAAGTTTATAATGACACCATTAAAATACGAGTTGCTAAAACCATTCTTAATCTCTGTGTGATCCATACCTTTGAATGTGTTTTTCCAGGCTATTTAAGAGGTGAGACCTGGACTGTATTTTTTCATTATTAGTAACAATGAAATCACACAGTATTCTCGTACAGTTGACTACATAAACTATGAGTTGGGTTATTTTCCAGTCTACTTTAAATTAGATTTGGGCTTCGTAATCGCTCTCAAGATAGTTTTTTTTCCACAGGCTTTTTTTTTGTCAGTTCTGAATAAGCTGAACATACTTTTAACATGTATCAAAATGGGGTTTGGAGGACTGAAATTTCAAGATGAACTGTCTACTTCAGAATACAAAGGAAAATCCGTTTTTAATGAGAACTAAATGTAAGCATCTGCTGTCCCGACAGAAACACATCCAGTTTCTTCTCCTCTAGCAAGCAGCAAGACAGATACCTCATTCCGTTGGTGCTCCATCATTCTCCATAGCGATTTTATTGACCAAGAAAATTTGTTGACCACACTCCAGCTCATGTGTCCCCAAGGTGCAGGACCCAGCTGGGTTCACCCTTTCTAGCACTGTGGTACTTGGGGGTGACTCCTCGGCTGTCGGAGGCTGTCACAAGGTGTATGGGTCCAAGACAGCGGTCATCAGCTGAGAAGTTTCCTAGTGTCTTTCTACCCCGAGCTGCCAGCTCCGTGAATCCCAATGAAAGGTCCCCCAAGCTTCACTGTCTGTGGCCCTGGTCCAGCCCCTTGGGTGGAGCGGGAAGCAGAAGCAGCAATGACAAACGTGTTGCCTTCTCCTGTAACAGAGTAACTGTTTGTAACCTATTGTCAAAGAAAAACTGATGGAGAAAATAGACAACTGCCAGCATTTAGCAACCTGCCTCTTTAGTCTGGTTTGAAAGGGTATTGTACTGGGGTGATAAACCTCTAATTCTGTTTTTTACCTTCCAGTGATACAGTTACCAAACGTGTGATCAAACCAAAGCATGCACAAAAATGCACTTTGTGGGGGAAAAAAGGATATAGACACAGAGTTGCATTGTCTCCATGGAAATTTCTTTGTGAGTGTGAGGAAACTGGACTGTAAGAGGGGCTTTGTAAGGGTAGGGAGAACAATGGAGTGATGATTAGCAGGTCTTCATCATGTTTCTCATGTTTATTGACCTCCCCTTAAACTGTTTTTATTCATTTCAGTAAAAATTTATTCTTTCTTCTCTCCCCCTTTGCCCATACTTTCATGTTTATTTCTGAAAGATGTCAAGGTAAAGCTGGTTTAACAGAAGCCAGAGAACCAGGGAGCAAATTCTACAAACTGGGGCCTTGGGGGAATGCAGTAGATGGCCTCTCAGGGGATTCCCAAGGCATCTTCTCCTTATTGTTTAATAAAAGTGAAAACACAAAGACCCCAGGAAATCCCATGGTGGGGCTGTACAGAGTTACTTAACGTAATCTGATGCTTCACGAAGATAAAAGTAAATCCCTAAACACTTCAAAAATCTAGGAAAAACTGAGCAGGAACAGTTTAGCAATAGTTTAGGTCTGAGCTGAAAATAGTTCCGTTTGAAGGAAAAGTGGGCCACTGAAACCATATTACAGGTTTGGAGCCATAGTGTTTTAATTTCCCCCAGATACTTCTTCGGAGCTGATCAACTGATTGCTTCACTGCTATTAATTATTTTCATGTCTTCTCTGAGAAGAGGGCATGCTGCTATGGACAGTAACAACCCCGCTAAGTTGCTGGTTTGGGATGTTCAGTTTGGAGGGAACCAGGGTCTGGATTTTGAGAGTCTGGGGCTGTTGACTGCTAAAGGATCAAGTGTACAGCCTGCAATCCAGGACCTCCCCACCGCTTGGGAGCTTCATTTTGCAATCTTAATGTTGTTCCTGACAGTGTACAGGTGTCTAGGCATTCTCGTAGCATATTGCTGGTTTTTAGTTTGTTCCAGCAGATGTGTACTGATGCCTGTGCAGACCCCCAGCCCTACCGCGCTCATGGACACTGGGCGATAGGCACCCATTAGCTCTGTGAGACAGGGGGTTGGAAATTGGTTCGCCAAGTAATTTGTAAGGGTTTTGCTGACACAGAGGAAGGATGGTTTGGGTATCACTGCGGGTTTCCCTGGAAAAGCCCAATGGGATGGGCGCTATCTTTCCTCCCTGCCCCGTCGCTGCTCAGCCTTCATCTGCCCAGCTGCAGGCTCTGCCCTCATCCCTGTGTTATCTCAGTCTTTTTGACAGTACAGCATTGGTTCCCCTTTTCCCAGCTTTCTTCGGGCAAGTCCGGAATGTGGTCCCAGGATGCATTGCGCTGCCGGTGTGAAGAGTGTGTGTGTGTGTGTGTGCACGCACAGTCGAGGTCGAGATTCTCCCCAGGCAGAGCTCCACTGCACGCTGAGCTGAGCAGGGGTGAAGGAGCGGTGTCGGTGCTTAGTGGTCCCTCATGCTTCTCATTTGCCATCGTTCAGTGTAGCCATGGGAACGGGGTGCACCAACGGGACACCTGCCTCCCTTGTGCCAGCCGCTCAGAAAATGTAGGTCACTCTGGATGTATCCTGTCTTTATTTCTGCACTGAGTCAAAAACCAGCCGCATCTCATTT